CTCGACTTGAGACCAACTTGAGTTGCAACCAGAGTCACGGAACGGATTAAGTTCGTAACTAGAGGTACCACTGTATTTTGTATGTCCAGGTAATTCACTGTGTAACTTTTCAATAGCAAAGCAAGTCTTTGTTGTGCCCCAGATCTTCCCAAGTGCTCACTTGTCCTTGTTAAAGGGAGTGTTCTCTTCCTTCCCCTCTGCTGTGCTCTATGGCTTCCTTTTTTGCCCCAGAAACATTTAAGACAGGAGCACTGCCCCTTTAAGATTCAAACAAGCTGGCAATTTGGGGAAGTGGAGAAGCGGCATTTGCTCAGAACTCTAATTCTAAGCTTCTTGTGTGGCGATGGGTAGCCTCTTCAGCAAGTGTGTCCCATCGGAGGTGGTCCTGCTTGAATTAAATTACAGCTCACAAACAGCTTGGTGTAGCTTTGTCTCTGGTTGGTTGTGCCAGGAAAGGGCATGGAGGCTTTCCTGTTCAGGCACCTTTGCCAATGTCACAGGCAAATCATGGACATCTCTAGCCTGTGGTCCAAGCCTAACATCTTAATAAAGTAAATTATCAGTAAATTACTGGTGGGATGCTCAGAACCAGAGCATGGTGGGTGGATTTCTTGTCTTAAGTTTACTGGTTGACCTGTACTCTATGCCTCACCCTGAACTCAAATAGAATTGGGGGGGGGGATCCTGAATAAAATGCTTTTGCATTGATGAAATCTGGTTTGTTGGCTGCAGAAATATGGACATTGTGGCCATAGCTTGGGGCTATCTTGAGTGGTGGAAACACCATCTCCTCAATGCACTGTCGCTCCTTGGATTTTTGTCTTCCCCCAAGCTCTGTTTAATTCCCCTTCCTTTTCAGAGTGTGCTCCAGCTTCTGAATCAGTTTGAGTGTCCTAACCCCTCCTCCTTCCCCACCTGGCCAGGCTTATTCATCCATAACAAGCTTTGCAGCCCAAACTAAGATAGAACAGTTCTTCTTTTTTCCTCTCTTCAGCCATTAGTAGTGGGTTTGAAGTGGATGTTGAAGGAGGAGCTCTCTCTACTTTGAACTTTCTTTGGAAGATGAGGGGATCTGTGCAGGGTGAAGAGAGCCAGGTGTTGGGATCAGGGCTGTAAACATCAATGCTCAGGAGAAAGCTTTGTGCTGTTTGTCTGTACTTTTGAGTCCCACTTCTCTGCTTCTGGTGGGCATATATTTAGCATGATATGTGGCTCGGTGGAGTCTGGCAAGAGGAAATTGATCCAGAAGGATATGAGCCGGCCTCCTCTCTAAATTAAAACCTCTGTCCACCACTTGATCACCTGTATAACTCCGTCACCCGTATCTTCCAGATAATCGTTATGTACCTTCAGGTATTAGAATGTGAACGTAACCAGCACCTGGTCCAGACCTCATGGTAAGTTGATGTTTCTTGTTTCTGTTGAGGCCAGCGGGGCAGTGGCAGGAATGTGTCATATTTGGGGGCTGTGTGCGTGTGCTCCACTGCCGTGTTCGTGGCCTTCCATTCTTAACCTGGAATGCCACCTCTGTCCCTCCGAGTGGACGGGCCTCTTTGCTAAAAGATTCAGACACTATCTTAAATGGTAAGAGAGCGTTCTCCCCTTTGCTCTTCCTTTCTCTCCTGCTGTGGTTTTAAGGGAAAGTTCTGGGTAGGGTTTTGAGGGAGAACATCTGTGCTGGGTGGGACTCCAAGCATTCATTTTGCACAGGGGGCCCTTTCCAGGAGGGGCCAGACAAATAGCCATGGAAGTGCTCTCGAGCAGGGCACAGAAGCGGCAGCCCTCCCATTCACAGTGTTTGTGGTTCAAAAATGCACTGCCCCGGGTGGGTCTTCTTTGCTGCTTATCGTGGGCGTGGGGTGGCGATCTCTTGGCGTATAGCCGTTTGGGTGGAAAACTGACCCCTTTCACCCTGCAACGGCCCCCATTTCCAGCGCCCAGGTTCTGGCCTTTTAAACATCCCCCTTCCATTCCCTCTCCCATTTTGGTGCTTTCTGGATTCTGAAACTGAGTCGTAGCCAATCTCACCCCCCCCACCCCGTTCTAAGAAAGGTAGCAGCTAACCTGTGAACCTGCCAGGATGTAAACGTTGATCTCGAAGTGATTGTTATGAACTGTCTGGCGTGGTTTTGAAGGAGAACCTGTTTTGACTTTTTTTTTTCTGTACTCTTTTGATCAAAGGGTAGCCTCTGAGGGTAAGTGACTAAGACTTCTCCTCTGCTGCCCAAGAACAATGGTGCAGGGATTACTGGCGTCTTCAGTCAAACCCAAGCAGGCTCCACAGAGAGAAGGCTGGCTCTAGACAGGTGGTATGCGTACGCTAGTAGAGTTAAAAACTGGCCGAACTGCTGCTTGTGATTTTATTTTCCTTTGTTTCCAACCTCTTTACCGTTTTGTTTGCACACTTTTCCAGATAAGCCTGTGTTACTGTCCAGATGCTCTGATGCCATGTTTGATATTAGTTCAGTGCAAATGTTTTTATTAAACTCGGCTTTTTTAAATTGTCGCTGAGGTTCGGGGCGGGAGGGGGAACGGGGCTCTGAACGCCGGTCATTGCATCTGTAAATCTAGTATGCTTTCATATTGTATTGCAGTTAAAAAAAAAAAAAAAAAAAGGTCAACTTTCCTGACTCTTGAAACCACATAGCATGGCCCAGGTCTTCCGTTTGGAGAAGCTGGATCTTCGCCATCGCTATTTTTCTGCCTTCTGGAATGAATGCCTTCAGTAGTGGTTGAATTAGAATTTTTGATTATCTGCTGGAATCTGAAGGGGGTGGGGAAAGAAATCCAAGATCCCGTTCTGCATAACTACACTTTTTAGTTGTTTCCAACCGCTGTCCTTCGTCAGTTAGCTCCTGGAGCTGTTGGAAGCCACCACACTTGTTTCATTTAGGTGTGCCTTCTAAATTGAAGTAGCTACATCCAAAGGTTAGCTGGACAACTGGGCCCAACCTCTTTGTGGCTCTGGACTGCCACAGTCCAAGAAGAGTTATTTATTAATCCCTTCTTTTCCTCAATTGAGTTGATCAGCGATACCATTCAGAGCATTCTAGTTTGCCTAGGCCTTTTGGAGGACAAAAGGCATTCCTCTTCCATAATTGTAGGTCTGCCTCCAAAGCCCACACTGCTTCTGCTTCGTTCTTCCATTTTTAGAACCCAAATTGCAACTATTTAGACCCAAGTACAAGTTTAATAGGTAGACTTAGCTCCTGTTCTGATAAAGAATGCAGCCTGGAAGTTAAATTCCTCTGGGTGCAAACATTCACAAGACATAGTTGCCCAGGGTATAATACAGCCTGTGTTCTGAGCTCTAGTAACCCGATACAGTGGACAACTTGGAAAAAATCTTTGAAAAGGTTTAGGTTGTGAAAATATATTGTGGTGCTCACGTTGCCTTTTGTGTTCCAGTGTGCAAAACGGGACTGATTGTAGGTCATGTGCAATATTTTGACACTTGCTTCATTCTGTGAACGTTTGTTTTGAGAAACCTTGTTACAGTGGGGCAGCTAGAGCGGCCCAGGGACAGTCAAAAGGCACGATCGGCTTGAATCGTGGTCCGTCGGCAAAGACAGTGCATCGGAATGGAAACACTCTGGCTTGCTCTCAAATGGATTTGGCTCCGGTTATTTCTCCCAAGCGAAGAAGTTTCCTTCAGAAGGAGCTTGCGACGAAAGAGGCCAGCTGTTGGAAAGGATCTGGATTTCTCCCCCCCAAAACCATTGAACCTGCTCCTTCAGACTGTTTGTTTTTACATTTGCTGCATTGCGAGACGGTCTTCTGACTGCTACGACTTGTACCAACCAATAACTTTAACCTTGTGCTTTGCGTAAGAACAGGCCAGTGGATTGTAGCCGAGAGGAAAGTTAAAACAGGTTCTCTTTCATAAAACACCCACATCCAGTTGGTAACATTCTGCATTGATGCTCTTCTGTGAGATGAAGCAACTCATTCCCTTTCCATCTTGTTGGGTTTCACAGGGTTACCTAGCGAACCAACCTAGCTGTAAAAAGTTAGCTCCATTAGATAAAAAAAAACAGGCTAGTATAGGAAGAAATTGATGGAGGTTAGCAACTCCTCCCTCCCATTTCTTTTCTTTTTTTTCCAATCTTCTCAGGAATTACATGAATGACAGCCTGCGGACGGACGTCTTCGTGAGATTTCACCCAGAGACTATTGCGTGCGCCTGTATTTATCTTGCTGCTCGGACTCTTGAGGTTGGTATATAAAATTAGGCCATGTTGTTGGGGGACTTTTGTGTTTCCTAGTAACGTTGCTGTTTTTCTGGGGCATCTAGGAGTGAATCATTTTTCTGTACGGAGCATTGAATGAGTTTTTTCTTCTCACAGAGAAGAAAGAAATGTGACCGTGTAGGAAACTAGGCTAAGAAAGAAAAATTACTGAGAAGTAATTGAATTCACTGTTTTCAGTCCTGGGCTTTACAAAAATCATGTTGATTCCAAAACACCTTTTAAAAATGTACTAGGAGCTCTGAGTGAGATTGTGGTTAAATGCTTTATACTTTGATTCTCAAAGCAAGTCTTCCTTAAAGGTTTGTAAGTGGGGAAAACTGCCTTTTTTTAACCACCAGTCGGGAAAATCTTTCCACTACACACTTAAATTTTTAGAAATCAAGGGCTTGGTTATTAATGTCCCAACGGTCTGAAGGGTAAACAGAAATCAGGATGATACCCAGTTAAACTTCTGTTTCAGTCTCCCACTTCTGCTGTCACTTCAGATTCACGATTCTGATGTTAGCTCAACCCTTGTAATGTCTTACCTAGGGAAGCAATCTTAAGATTTTGAAAGCTGGCTGTGATTTGGGGCAATGACCCATCATTACTGCCTATTGTAAATAACACAAGGCATCACGGGGGGGGGGGGGGGACTTTAGTTGGGAGCAGGGGGGTTAGTGGGATGATGGGGGATGCCTTTTCTTTGCAGATTCCTCTTCCAAATCGTCCTCACTGGTTTCTTCTCTTCGGGGCTTCAGAGGAGGACATTCAGGAGATCTGCCTGAAAATTTTACAGCTCTACACACGGAAAAAGGTGTGTTGCTGCCTCTGTGGCAGAATTCCCAAATTTGAGGGCGTGGAAGTTGGTTAGATTTCTCTCCTCTCCTTTGCCACTTTGTGGCTGGGAAGGATTACACATACACAGCCATCCAGCAATCCTCAAGGTTGGGGTTCAAACCCCTGCTGTTGGCAGCAAAGGAAACCCTCTTCTGATTTCTGGGGAGGGGGAACAAAGTAAAACCACCTGCATGTCCACTCACAATGATCCTGTGCATGGAGAAAGAGGGTATGTGTCAATCATGGGTGTTTCGTTGTAGTGCCTTGGGGCCAGTGGTGATCCCCAAGCCCCTTCCTTGTGGCAAGGCTTCAGATTGATAATGAAGCTCAAGCTCAGATACTTTGGTCACCTAATGCGAAGAGAGGACTCTTTGGAAAAGACCCTGATGCTGGGAAATGGAAGGCAAAAGGAGAAGGGGACAGCAGAGGATGAGATGGTTAGAAAGCATCACCGAAGCAATGAACGTGAAACTGAGCAAACTCTGGGAGGCAGTGAAGGACAGCAAAGCCTGGCACGATGTGGTTCATGGGTTCACGAAGAGTCGGACATGATTTAGCGGCTGAACAACAAAAGGCTTCAGAGCTGCTTCCAAGAAAGTCCATTTTTTAATGCCTGGTCATCTACACAGCAGGAAACGATGGTTTTTATGTGCACTAGGATATGCTCCAAGAAACAATCTTACTCTCTCCTCCACTTCATACTTTTTTCCCTTTTTTTCTCCCTGTCCCTCCCTTCTGGGCGGTGCTTTCGTGCTTTTCAGATAAGTCAAGGTGGTCCTAAAGCCTTGGCTCTTGCTTTGCCTTCGCAGGTTGACCTGGCGGTTCTGGAAAGCCGCGTTGAGAAGAAGAAGCTAGCCATCGAAGAGGCGAAAGCACAGGCCAAAGGCCTCTTGCCGGATGGAGCACCCCATCTCGATGCAGTGGCAGGTTTTTCTCCAGTTCCCAAAACAGGTGAGTGCTTCTTGTCCTGAACTTATTTGTATGGACGGGATTTTTCTTGAAACTAGCCCAACGAAGGAGAAGGCACTTGCCTTTGACAGCAGAGGCTGATCATTTTGTGCCAAGAATTCGCACGGGAGGGAAGCATTCAACTGTGCCATCGTTCTTCATCCCTTTGCTAGTTGGAGCCTCCATCTCCCCCTCATTCTGTTTCATCTGTCGGCAGATCAGAGCTATGAGCCAGATCCTCCCACCCTAAGATCCAGGTTTATCCCAGCCCTGATGAATCTCTGCTCACTTGCCATCTTGGGGCTGGGTTTTATCAGAAGAAGTGGCAGCTATGCCACGAGACTCGAAAGCAATGCAGGGCATGTAAAGAATCAGCTCCACATCCTGGTTGTTTCATGTCAACCTGGCTCTCACTTGATGGGGTGCTCCAGGGGAAGCTTGCCTGCGCATAAGCCTGGTGGGGTCTTAACCGATGTGCAGAAAGGTCTAGTTTAAACCAGCCGTCAGTCCTCTGGATTGGTGGGTTGGTAAATTTCCTCAGTCTCTCTTTTGAACTGCTCTTTCTTTGACCCAGCCGTCCCTCTCTGACACACTGGCTGTATTCAGGCCCAACAGAGTTTGTAAATCATCATCTGTTACAGACAGAGTGGGCGTTGCTTGACTTGTTGAATAGAACCCCGGCTGAACTTGCCGCCTTACGTTTGGCTCCCAGAATGCTTCTTGCTTTCGATTTCCCAACAGTTTTTTTCCCCACATCCTGCATTCCAAGAATCAAGTAGCGCTGCATGAAATGCTAGCGTTACTGGACTGGCTGGATTTCCTTCACTTTGTTACCTCTCCTTCCCCAGAATCTCCAAAAGACAGCAAAGGCACGAAGCCTTCCCCGCTTCCTGTGCAGACGGTGAAAAATGCTAAGAGGAAAATGGAAGGGATGAAGAGAGTGAAGTCCAGCAGCCCCGTTAATGGGTAAGGCTTTGTGCAGCAGGCTGCCCGTTGCTTAACTGGGTTAACGTTGGGGAGCTGGGGTGGCTTAGGCTAGTGCAAGTGTTACTGTGAATGCCAAATTGGGTGGTGGCATAGAGCGACCCTCCTCCTCTGTCTTTCCCGCGATTGCTCCTTGACCTACCCCAAGAGCAGAAGGACTGCAAGGCTCTCTTCTTACGCTGATGTTATGGCCTTGGGGCACATTTGCCCAAAAGGTTGTAGCTGCAGTTATAAATCATTACGGGAACAGATTCCATGAGCCAGATTTGTCGTTTCTGGGTTGCTTCCCTTGGGGTAATTGCTGATGCCATCCCTCAGTCACTTCTGGGGATTCCTCCTGCCGTAGGACAAAGCTCGGTGAGCTGGACAACCTCCTCCTGTGAACCGTTTAGTCAAAAACAGGATTCCTGGACTGGTTGTGCTCCAAAGAAGCAAGTGCCCTCCAGCGTCACGATTTGGCTCTGTTGCCCATTCTCGGCTCCTGTAGAAAAGCACCCTGTGATGGTTCTGTTACTTAGCTTTTGTTGGTTAGCACAAAGTGTCAGTGTAGCTTTTATAGTTTAGTAAACCATGGTTACAGCAAGGGTACCTGCACTAGAACTAGAGCTCCTTTCTTCAGTTTGGATCCAAATGCTCTCCTCTCTCCAGTGAGACCCATTTTTAAGATGACCCTCTCTCGTGAAAGCTCACTGGGTAAGCAGTAAGGAAGAATGAATGGAAGAGAGGGATAGAAAGAAAGAAAAAAGCCACAGTATTACTTACCTTATTCTCTGAATTTCTGCAGCATTCAGAAAGGCCGTGAGAGTAGGAGTCGAAGTGGAAGTAGAGACCAGAGTTATTCTCGCTCACCGTCTCACTCGCCTTCTCCAAAACAGAGGTAGGTATCGAAGGGCTGGGGCGTTGGAGCTGCATGGTTGGCTTTTAAGGACAAGAATAACCAGGGGGATCTATATAAAAGTCATAAACTGGCACCTGGTGAATGCAAAGCTGAATGTGGGAGAAAAGGTTTCTCTTGAGTCTTAAGCCTGCAGTCCAGCCTAGCTCATTGTCCACCTAGGCACAGTCATCTTGCAACACAGAGATGGGGATTCTGCTTGCAGGATATCTTGATTTCTCCCACAACCAGAGTACTTCTCTGAAATTTGCTAGATGGCTGTTTGCCCTCACTTTTAGTGGCTGGATTCATCCATCTCATTAAGCCAGTTAATAGGAAGCCAGCCCTTTCAGTCTCCACACCAAGATTGTATGCCTTAGCAGTACAGTGATAGTTTATTCCATGATTAAGCAAACCATTAGCCAGGCAAGTCTTTTAAATTACTTTTTAAATGCTTTTAAAACCGGCGCTGGCAGGGCCTTGCTCCCGGGCAGCGACAGATATCGTCTTCCTCTTCCCCCCACTCCAGGAAGAGCGAAAGCTATTCCCCATCGAGTGGCTCCAAGTCCCACAGCCGTTCGAGGAGCCGCAGCGATTCCCCTCCCCGCCAGTTCAGCCACACCACCGCCAGTTATAAAGGCTCCAAGATGCGAAGCTACAAGAAAGCCAAGGGATACAAGTATGGCTCTCCCAAAGCCCGGAAGTCCCGTAGCCGGAGCTCCTCAAGGTCCCGCAGCCGCTCGCGGGAACGTTCTGACCACTCGGGGAAGTACAGGAAAAAGAGCCACTACTACCGGGATCAAAGGCCGGAGCGGCCCCGCTCGTACGAAAGGCCGAGCCATCGCTACGAGAGAGATCACCCTGGCCACAGTCGGCACCGGAGATGAAGTCAGACAGAGCACAGCCAAAGCTCCCAACCCTTCCAGGTTCAGCCAAGACCCTGTTTTGCCCAAGGCTGGATTCTGGAGCCCTACAAAGATATTGGCTAGTTAAGGGCCTGCGTGGCACCGACCTTAAAGGAGCAAAGAGCAGGATTGGGCGGCATTCTGTGGCTGTTTCTGGACCCTCCCGTCTCGATGTAGGGCAGTTGCTTGTCTGCTGGATTTTGTGTCTGCTTAATACTAGACTGGCGATGTTCCTTTGAGCTGTCAAGGCAGGATTGTGGCCTGCCTTGGATTCTGTGGAGGAAAACTTCGGGGACACTATTCAGAGGGTTGAGACACCCCTCTTCCCAATTTATTTTTTAATTTCTTTCTCTCTCAAAGGATCTTGGAAGGTCACCCCAACAACATTGCTTGGTGCTAACAGCATTTTCTTTTCCTTCCTTCCTCCCTCCCTCTCTCTCTCTCCCTCTCCCCCCCCCCTCTCGTTGCAGTGAACTTGATTGCATTGGTATTACAGAAGGTGATTTAGGATTCTTCAAACTCAGTGCCTATATTAGGCAGTCTTTGGGGGAAAGTATCTGATGTTGAAATGGGAAGGATGGAGGAAAGCCTTAACCCTTTAAAAGTGCAAATGTGTTTCATGAAATTCTGGAACTGGGAACCCGCATCCTGAGAATGCAAATGTTTACGCTCCTTGACTGAAGGTTTCTTCCACAGGCCCACCTTTTTTTTTTTTTTTGCCCCCAGCAGAAAGAACTGTGGAATAATATTTAGATTCCACGTGTTGGAAGTGGTCTTTTTTTAATCCTGGTGCTGGCCACCAGTTCCGGACTGGGGATGATTTCATAGAGTATAACCTTTTATGTGGTTTAGGTAATAAAATTTACTCAGGATCTTTCAAAAGTCTGAAGAACTGATTGTTTTTGTCTGCTCCTAGCTTGCTGAAGAAAAGGTGTTTATATTAAGAGAGAAATGTATACAGCACAAGAATATCCGTTTTAGTGGTATATCTGAGCTGTCTTCCTGTTCATTGATTTCATTAAAGTATTTGATTTTGTATTTAAACATTCTGGCTCGGATTCTTCAACCTGTCTTGAATGGCTGTTTTAGTTTGTGGTATTTATTCTCCTTCTACCCAGTACCAGATTTTAGCCTAAGCTTTCAATTACATTGTTTGTCTTTTACATGGAACAGCATGTTGAAGTTCGGTTCAAATTGGATTTATGGGCATGGTTTGGGTTTCTGAAAAGTTGAGTTTCTTTTTATATCACTGTATTTTGCCTTAACGGTTCATTATCAAAAATACACTTCCATGCTCTGAGTGGTTTTCCTCAAAGCACATTTCAGCAATTCACAACACGAAGCTGGCCAAAAAACTAAGGAAGTTCAGCAGAAGGAAGACTGTAGCAGAATGACTTTTTAATTAGCAGATCTTTTCTATTTGGCATTTGGGTTGGCACAAGGTTTATGCACTTTGGAGCTTCAGGCAGAATAAGCCGAAACACTTTTTTTTTTCAAATTTTCTTAAGGCTGAGCTGACAGGAAAAGTCTTTGATTTTAATCTTAACGAAGAAAAAGGGATGCCCCAATTTTCCATGGTGAAACATGGCTCTGGTTGGAATGAGACAAAAAATGAGATCAAAGGGTGTTTAGAAGATTGCCTTCTTTCCAGGCATGTCTTTAAATGCCAGGTCAGTTTCCCTTTGGGAATTACAGTCAGGTCCAGAAATATTGGGACATCGACACAATTCTAACATCTTTGGCTCTATACACCATCACAATGGATTTGGAATGAAACAAACAATGTGCGTTAACTGTAGACTCTCAGCTTTAATTTGAGGGAATGTACATCGGACATCGACACAATTCTAACATCTTTGGCTCTATACACCATCACAATGGATTTGGAATGAAACAAACAATGTGCGTTAACTGTAGACTCTCAGCTTTAATTTGAGGGAATGTACATCCAACTCAGGTGAACGGTGTAGGAATTACAACAGTTTGCATATGTGC